TACCACGGCCAGCCTCAGCAAGGCAGCCAGCGCGCCCCGATGGGCCTCCTAGGCTCAGAGACACACTTCTTTCTAATTGAGGACAAGCCTGACCGATGCTGACCGCGTCACCGACATGTCTTAGTCTCCCTGGAACACTTGCTGCACAACAGCCTTTCCCGGTCTGACCTCTGGCTTGAAATCCCAGGAACAGACATGGGCTGGGCACGGGCACTGCCCACGTCACACCCCCTGCAGCATCTTCATCCTGCTTGTGTGTTCTGGTCATGTTTATTTAATTTGAAAGGCAGAGTCACAGAGACCCTGGAGAGTGTGACTTCACTTCCCAAAGGGACCAGGGCAGGGCCAGGGCGGAGCCAAGGTGGGGCCAGGGCGGAGCCAAGTGGGGCCAGAGCAGGGCCAAGATGGGCCAGTGCAGGGCCAGGGCGGAGCCAAGGTGGGGCCAGGGCAGGGCCAGGGTGGGGCCAAGGCGGGGCCAGAGCAGGGCCAAGATGGGCCAGAGCAGGGCCAGGGTGGAGCCAAGGTGGGGCCAGGGCGGGGCCAAGGTGGGGCCAGGGCAGGGCCAGGGCGGGACCAAGGTGGGGCCAGGGCGGGGCCAAGGTGGGGCCAGAGCAGGGCCAAGATGGGCCAGAGCAGGGCCAGGGCGGGGCCAAGGTGGGGCCAGGGCAGGGCCAAGGTGGGGCCAGGGCAGGGCCAGAGCAGGGCCAGGGCGGGGCCAAGGTGGGGCCAGAGCAGGGCCAAGATGGGCCAGAGCAGGGCCAGGGCAGGGCCAGGGCGGGGCCAGAGCAGGGCCAGGGCGGGGCCAAGATGGGCCAAGGTGGGGCCAGGGAGGGGCGAGTCTGACCCCCGGAAGCCAAGCGCTTCTTGGGGTCTCCCACAAGGTTTCAAGGCCCCAAGCACTTGGGTCGTCCCCCACTGCTTTCCCGGGTGCTTTAACAGGGAGCAGGATTGGAAGTGGAGCAGCCAGGACCCAGCACGATGGCTAAATGGCTCAATGGCTAAATCCTCACCTTGCAAGCACTGCATCCCATATGGGGGCTGGTTCACGTCCTGGCTGCTCCACTTCCCATGCAGCTTCCAGTGTGTGGCTTGGAAGCACAGTGTGTGTGGTGGGGGGGGTGTTCAAAGTCTTGGGACCCTGTACCCGAGTGGGCAACCAGGAAGACACTCCAGGCTTCGGATTGCCTCAGTTCTATCAGTTGTGAACAATATATTCAGAAAAAAATAAAGTGGAGCAGCCTGGACTTGAGCCGGTACCCACAGGGATGCCAGGGTCTCAGATGTTACCTTAACTTACAGTGCCACCTTACCGACCCCTGTCCGTTTTCTTACATTTTGTTTTATCTCTCCCAAGAGGGCAACATGGAATTTAATGAAGACATTGCTCACCAGATTTCAAACACGGCAAGGGAGTTCCGGAAAACCATGGCAAAGTAAGGAGAGACCTTGGGATCCCCCAAACCCAGGTTCGAGTCCCAGCTACCCGAGAAGAAGCTGCCCTTCTCCTCTCCGAGCCTCGGTGGTTCTGTGTGTGAACCTGAAGCTGCAGGGCGCTGCCCACAGGACAGACAGGAGCAGTCACAGCCCCGGGCGGGGAGCGTCGTGGCACCTTCCCGTGCTCCGGCCGTGGCCCACTGCTCTAGAAACAGGCAGGCCTCTGTGTGCGGCTCCCAGCCCTCCACACTCCGAGGCCACCCCACAAGCCAGCGCAGCCAAGCGGGCTGACCCCAAAAGGGATGCTCTATTTTCAGAGCTGACCTGATTCACGTCAGACGCTGGACAGCTCCCGCGGCCCACGGCGCGGCCAGCAGCTCCGTGCTGACCATGCACGGTGCTCCCATGGCATCAGCCACGCCTCACGCAGCCACGCCTCACGCAGCCACGCCTCACGAGTGTGGGCCAGCCACATAAGGTGCTCCCACAGCATCAGCCACGCCTCACGCAGCCACGCCTCACGAGTGCACATGGTGGCTGCCAGCACCCTGGGACACTGGCAGGCGCACCATGCAGCAAGTTCCACGCCAGAAACCTCTGCTGACCAGGGAGGCAAGCCTCCTTCGCCTCCTTCATAAACAATCTATTTACTTGAAAAACAGAGAGCGGGGGAGACACAAAAGCATCCACAGAGAGAGAGAGAGATCTTCCAACCACTGGTTCACTTCCCAAGACGGCCCCATCAGTCAGGACGGGGCCAGGCCACAGCTACGAGCCTCCTGCAGGTCTCCCACATGGGCACAAGCACTAGCCACCTTCCGCTACTCTCCAGGGCCATCAGTGGGGGCTGCACGTAAGTGGAGCATCCAGGACATGAGCCAGTGCCCCTGTCGGATGCCGGCACCACACACAGCACTTTTACCCACTCTATCATAACACTGGCCCCAAGTGTGCCCTTCTGTATTAACTCAGAGTGCCACACACTGTGAGCTGTAACAGGCATGCTGTGTGCCCTCCCCACACATGGCACCGTGTGCACGGCCGCAGGGCCAGGGCTTAATCACAGACGCTCACAGGGTGAAAATGGAACCGCTCCAGCCCCAGAGGGGTCCTCTTACCAGCAGCCCCGTCCATCTCCCCCCCGTCTCCTTTCCTCCCACTCCGCAGAGTCGCACACAGGAGGAAGCCAAGCCTTGGCCTTTGTGGCTGCTCCTGGGAAGGGACACGCCAGGTGCTCGTCCCCTCCGCCTGTTCAGGGCACCAGGGGCTGTGCTGAACACCTGTCACCTTTCAGGGAGCAGCTTCTGTCCCAATGAAAATCCTCATTTCTCTGTCACGAATTTCAGAGATGGAAACACTCAGGTGGCAGTCACCTGTGGAATTCCCTAAGTAATGTTTGGGAAAACTCGAGTGCTGCGCCTTTGCCGGCAATGCGCCTTCCCGGGCAGCGTGCGGCCGCGCTAGTTCCCGCACACCCAACGTCTGGGGTGCAGGGTTTCGATCTGAGCTGTTCTGACAGGTGGGCAGTGTTGTCTCGCCCCAATGGGTGTTTCTCAAATGACCAATGATGGGGGACATCCGTCCATGCAGCTTTAAAAAGTATTTTTTCAATTAAAAAAAAAGAGAGCCAGCTTCCATCTGCAGCTCACTCTCCAAACGGCAGGAACATCGGCTCCAGCTGCCCCCGTGGGCCACAGGGATCCACGGGCTTGAGCCGTCACAGCTGCCCCCGTGGGGAGCTGAAGCCGGGCGCACACTCAGGACTCACCCCCAGACCCTCCACGAGGGGAAGTGGGTGTTCCAGCTGGCAGCCTGACCACAGGGACAGACACCTCTCCCCCAAGACACCCTTGCTGGCGGAGTCCCTCGCACCACTGTCCATGCAAAACTGGACTTGGCTGTTTTTATTGTCGACTTTCCTGAGTTATTCACATATTCTAGGTACTAATCCCGGGCCAGATTTTGACTTGCAAACATTGCCGCCCACACCGCAGCTGGCCTCCCCTTCCTCTTGGGAGGGTCGTTCGTGGAGCAGGTTGTAAAGTGTTTGGTTTTTCTGTTGCTGTGTCACGACTGGAGAGCCCATTTCCCAAGACTCTGCCTGGACCTAGATCCACCAGAGCCTGCATTTTGCATGAGTTCCCCGCCCTCCCCTGGATTCTGGGATGGCTTTTGGAGGGAGCGGGCTGTGCAGGCCCAGCAGCAGGGCACCTTGTCCCAAGGCAGCTGAGTACCCTTTCTTAAAGCTTTATTTTTTATTTGAAAGGCAGAGTTACAAAGAGAGAAGGACAGAGAGAGATACTTCCATGCGCTGGTTCACTCCCCACATAGCACAACAGTCAACACGGGCCGAGCTGAAGCGGGGGGGACGTCTCCCATATGTAGGAATGCAAGGCCATTAGCAGAGAGCTGGATCGGAAGCAAAGCTGCCAGGACTCGAACTGACAGCCACATGGGTTCCTGGTGCCTCCGTCAGTCTTAGCCTGCTGCACCACAGCCCCCCGTCCTTAACGGGACACTTTCGGGGGTCTTGCTGCAGTGTCTGCTCTCCCATTGGTCCGTATGACTCCTACCCCATTCCCACGCACCCCCGTGACTGTGGCTAGGGAAAAAGTTTCACACTCGGCTAGTCTATTGCTCTGCCCTTGCATGTAGATTTTAGAACAGCCACTGCTCCCAAAACTGTTGCAAAGGGGTCTGACAAAAACGGCATGAGGGTGGCGCACTTCGGGGCGTGCGACTGAACCCAGCCTCTGCTTCTGACCCTCTCCGGTAAGCTGCTGGTGATGGTCTGCAGGTACACATGGGCGTCACCCAGGCTACCCAGCCCCAGCTTCTGACCCTCTGCCTTTTAAATAAACTGTCTGTGGTGGGGCTGGAGGAGTACTTAACTTGTGCATGAACATGTAAGAAGAATCTTGAGGGCCTGGTGCGATAGCATAGTGGTTAAAGTCCTTGCCTTGAACACCCTGGGATCCCCTATGGGCACCGGTTCTAATCCTGGCAGTCCCACTTCCCATCCAGCTCCCTGCCTGTGGCCTTGGAGAGCAGTCGAGGACGGCCCAAAGCCTTGGGACCCTGCACCCGTGTGGGAGACCTGGAAGAGCTCCTGGCTCCTGGCTTGGGATCGGCTCAGCTCCAGCTGTTGCGGCTGCCTGGGGAGTGAATCATAGGACGGAAGATCTTCCTCTCTGTCTTCTCTCTGTATATCTGACTTTCCAATAAAAATAAATAAATCTTAAAAAAAAGAAGAAGAACCTTGCAGACTTTTGACTGTTCTGATCCATGGACATGGTATATCTGCCCGAGATACGTCTTCAATTTTCTTTTCTTTCTTCTCTGTTTTAACCAGCACTGCGTAGTTCTGAGCAGACTTCAGGATTTACATGAAAACACTTTGTTTCTCGAGGGGCTGGTCCTGGTCCTTCACCCCTCGCGGTGCCCACGCCACTGTGAGCACACAGGGCTGCAGCCGACGTTCGTGCAGCCACCTACACTGCAGTGACCGTGCAGAACCCGCCGGTCACTCCAGGGCTTCTCCGCCTTGCCCTGGAAAGCGTCACTACCACCAGCCCAAATCAGGAAGTTTCGTCTCTTCCTTCCGGGTGCCTTTTCCTGCCTCTCCTTCCTGCAGTGTGGTGGCTTGAGGTCCTGCTGCCATGTCATGGGACAGTGGTGACGACAGTGAGCCTGCACGCGTCTTGATCCGGGGCATGCGGGCCTCCGAGGTGCCGGGAGCAAGGCCTGGGGGAGGCGCCCGGAGGGGGGTGGGGGCAGGCACACAGTCGGGCAGAGGCGCACAGACTGGGGGTTGGGGACAGGCTTGGGTGTGAGCACTCTCCTGCCACTCAGGCCTTAGAGCTTGGCATTCCAAGAAGAGGGGCTGCCCACTGCCAACCAGGGCACCCCAGCATGGGCAGCAAATTTAGAATCTGTGGGGACAGGTCCGGTTCATTGCACAGGGCAGCCTGAGGCATCCCATGGCACCTCCTGGAGGCCAGGCCATCAAGTCACCGCGTGGCAGGCGGCCTCCCCCAGCAGTCTGCGTGACACAGTGGCCGCACTCTGCCTGTGGCTGGGGCCACGCGCTCCCGCCAGACGCCAAGGGCCGTGAGCCACGCAGGACTCAGCTGGGAGGAAGGGGCCGTGGAACGATGCCTGGAGAAGGAGCGTCTGAAACGCTCAGCTTGAAGACCAACCTCCTCCAACAGACATGCGCACAACCACTCACAGACATGACACACATGTGCATCCGATGCACTCACACGGCCACACAACGCACACATGTGTATAATCATTTGCACATGCCCGCACACACCTGCACGACCTCACTCCTGCACGCGACCACGTACTTACACACACACCACACACAGCGCCTGGGCCTCCTGGGTGGGGAGAGCTTTCTCAGCCGGCTCTGGGGCACCACAAGCCAGCAGAGTCGGGGGGGACGTTCCCAAGCATGTCCCCTCGGACAGAGGCCCCGGGAGTCTCCTGCGACCCTGCCTCACCCTGGGAGCCTCAGGGCGGCTGTCCTCCATGCCCTGGCCTCGGGGAGCTCGCTCTGCCATGTCCTGCTGCGTCCTTACAAACAGGTGTGGGAGCTCCTGCCGGCATGGGTGCCCTGGAGCCCGCCGAGGGCAGCCCAGCCACCCAGCTGCCAAGGGGCCAGGTTCCCACAGGACACGTGCTGGCTCCGGTCCCTCGTGGCCACTGGCCACTAGAAACAGGAGACAAGACTGGTACAAGCTCGGAGGGCTTCTGAGTACGGAGGAGGCAGACACATGGTGACCACGCCCAGCTACTCTGGGCCACCTTGAAACCGCCACATTTTGGGTGACTGTTACATTAAATATGTTCTTGAAACCTGTCTCCTCTCCCCTCAATATGCCTACAGGAAATTTCTAGGACACAGTTGTAGGGGGTGTGGTGCTGGTCTCTGCCCTGGACAGGGTACACCCCTACCCCGCTTGGCACTGGGGCAGAAACGAATGAATGCACTCCCAACCCGGCTGCAAGCTCGGGCAACCCTGCCTGGGCAGCCAGAAACCAAGGGACAAAGTGGGCGAGTGGCTGTGGGCGTCAGGGCCTCTGCTCCGGGGACACGGCACACGGTGTGGTGTCTGTGCACGGCAGGGTCCTGCCCCCCACCTGGGACAGCAGCAAACCTGTTCCTCACAGGGGCCCCCACCCTGACCCCACCACTTCTGAGCTCGCACACCACAGCCCTGCTTCTAAGAAGCTTTTCCCAAAGCAAAGAGCTTCCAGCCCCCCGAGACAGTGAGGAAAGGGGGAACTCAGCCCCTCTGCCAATCCCATCACAGCTGTTCTCATGCCCCAAGCCTGGCCCCCACCCCATCTCCCTCTCTTCCTTTATGGTCCTCCCCCCCACTGCCACTGCTGCCCCCTGCCTTCTCACCCTCCCGCTCCTGTGACAGCTACAAGCCAGACACTCCAACCTGTGCTGGAGTGGGAGGCGGGAGGAGCACAACGGGACGTTCCCAAGCGTGTCCCCTCGGACAGAGGCCTCGAACCTAAGACATGATTCTAACTGTAGAATGGAGCCCTGGGGAAGGCAATGTGGGCCCAGCGAAGGGCGCGTGTGTTTGGGGTGGCACAGCCCCTGCTGTTTCTGTCTCGTGTGGAGTCTGGAAGCAGTGGCTGCAGTGGCCACAGTGGGTGCGGCTCTGTGCAGGGCGGCACAGGTGTGCCGCTGTCCCAGGAGGGTGGCAGGACCTGGCTGTGCATGCACACAACACCGAACTCGTGGCACAGGCACTGGCCCTGAAGAACCAGAGCGTCTTCAGCATGCCAGCAGGCTCCTGAGGGCTGGATGCCAAAGGGGCTCTGCCCACAGGGGTTCTGCCCACAGGGGCTCTACCACAGGGGCTCTGAGGCCCCAGACCCCTGGACGCATGAACAGACTAAGGGGCAGGCTGAGGAGCAGCCCCTGGCAGGCCAGGTGGCCTCTGTCCTTATAGTCAGCTCTCATTTCCCTGCTGGTCCCACCCCTGCCTGACAGTGGGCAGGGCAGCATCAGGACGCTGGGAGGTGTGAGCACGGGATGGCAACAGTGGGAAAACAGAGGACAAAGAAACGCAGGCAGAGCCAGGGGTGGGGGCTGGCATTGCCACAGGGGCACCTGGCTAAGCCCAGCACAGCTCTGGCCACTGTGTCCTGGGGGCGGGGCTACAGACACCCTGGACGCAGGCCCCTCCCTTGTGCACCTGCTGACCTGGCCGCAGGCCTTATCCTTGCAAGCACTCCCCTCCACTCTGGCCCCCGCTCCTGCCACACAGACCCAGCAGTCCGAGCAGCTTACAGACACACGGGGGTCTCAGGCCTCTCCCCGGCCCAGCTCTCCCGTCCCTTCCCTTTGCCCAGCAGCCCAATTAACTCAGATCCAGTCCAGGGGCTCCTGGGAGACAATCAAGCAGGAAGCTACCCCCGCGAACGCCACCCCCAGCAGCAGGACCCAGGGCTGGGCAGACCTCGGCAGGGACCTGGTCATGCCCCCAGCCTGCAGCAGGCCTGGACAAGGGGTCCTCCTGCTGGCAGCTAGTGTGGGAGACTTGGGGAGCAGCCCCAGCCTGTGTATTCAAGCAGATTAGCTGGGATCTAATCTCATTACGTAACTGGTGCTCCCCACTTGGCGGCCTCCTGGGCCAAGGCCCCTTGCACATGGGAGGGGTCTTAAAGAAAGCGGGCAGCAGGCTGCACCCCCGCTGCCGGCTCTGGCCCAGTGCAGCCCCCTCGCCCGCCTGCCCCTCCTGTCTGCCTGGCACCGGGTGGAGGAACCCTGTTAGGGCTGACTTCAAACATGGAATCTAGATCAAGGATATATTTGGCTGCCCTGCTCATCCGCACATCAGCTTGGTCTCTGCTGACTTGTAACCCTTTGAAGAAGACTTAGCGACGACATATTTAAGGCCGAGGACTCTCACACAACTCCCACCAAGAGCCCACGCCCACTTCCAATCCCCATGGGATCCCTGGGTCTGCAGGGTGGGGTGGGGCTGCCCACTTCACCATGACCCCAGGGGCAGGCCACCCAGCTCCCCTGTGGGTTTCCAACAAAACATGCCAAGCTCTGGTGGCCAAACACCTTGTGGGCATCTGAGTTAGAGGCCCTGGGGTGAGTCCAGGGGGCCAGGATGGAATGAGGCTTCCCCCACAGAAGCAGAGCTGACCCCTGCTGCAGGCGTGCCCAGGCCCTGGAACCTGAGAGGGGAGCTGCCCTGCCCCCCGCCACCCCCCCCCCCGGGCGAGCTGGGAGGTCCCCCCTCCACCTGCACAGCACACCCCCTACCGGAGGGCAGGGGCCGCCTGGGGTGGGGAGGAGCTGGCGAACCCCAGAGTGACCCTGTCCCTGTGTCACTGATGGATCCGCCGCCAGCTGAGGGGCAGCCGCGGCGCCCGGCCCCCGAGAGGCAGGATTCCACATGATGCATGGCCAAGCTCCGTGGCCGTCCCACCTGCGTGGGGACTTCTCAGCGGAAAGAGCCCTGGATGCAGCGGGCATGCTCCTGAGGGCACAGGTGGGCTGTGAGTGCAGGGCTTACATACCCAGGGCCTGAGCAGGGCCTGGGACACCGTATCAGGCAGTCCCAGGCACAGCCTCGCCACCGCCCTGGTCGGGGGTGCGGGAAGCTGCTCCAGGACCCTAAGAGCTTGGGCAGCCGAGCTGCGGCTCCAGCGGCGACCACGCGCTGCCAGGCGGCCCAGCTCTGGATGCCCTGCTGCTTGCTGAGTAAGCAGCTGCTCCTGCCCGGGGAACGTGTGAACCCCGCAAGCCTGCCAAGCACCAGGGTCCCCGGCAAGGGCGGCCTTGCTCTCAGAGCGTCTGGAAGCTGTGGTGAGCTCCCCTCCACCACAGTCCAGGAAATGCGCCAGCAGCTCCCCGAGACCCCAGCTGGTCCTCCGTCTGCAAAGAAAGGGGTCCCGAGGCAGAAGCAAGCCAGCAAGCTCCAGGCTTCAGGACTTGGAGAGACCGAGCTGAGAAGCCCCTTCCCCGTTCACAGAAACCTCGCTCCAGGCACAGCCTGCAGCCTGCCGCCCCGATAGGCTTCGGGCTCGGCATCCACCTGGCCCTCCCAGGTGAACCTTCGCAACACCAGCAGCACGGGCGGACTTTTAAAGTGCATTCCCCGCCCGGGAGCCCTCCAGGCCTCAGGTCTCTCCCAGAGGGTGTTCCTGCCCGCTCTTTGTAATGCAAAACCAAGGGACGCTCAGGGGGCTGGGTCACCTCCTCCTCCCCCACCTCCACAAACGCTGGGGACAGCAGATCTCCCAGGCTGACCGGAGCGCGGACAGCCAGAAGGTCAAACTCCAAAGTCACCAAGGAAACTACTTCCCAAGCCCGTTCCAGGAGCCGCCAGGGGATGCCGGAGAGGGCGGCCGCCGCGAGTCTCCAGCGGCAAGGCCATCTGCCTCCTCCAGCTCCTCTTATCAAAATGTTCTCATCTTTCAATCTCACCGCCACTTAGCAACAACCACAACAAAGGAACCTTCCAGAGCGCATCCAGGCGCCCTGCCCCCTCCCCGGGGTTTGGTCCAGCCCAGGACCGCGGCAGCTGAGCAGGATGGTACCTGGGGCCAGGGTCAACAGCCAGGCCAGCAGGAGGAGGCTAGGTTCCCGAGGCTGAGGTCCAGCCAGCGCCCCTCATCCTACACTCCGGGGCTGGCGATGAACCTCCCCCCCACCCCCGCCCTCAGGCTAACCAGGTAGCGGGCAGCGCGAAGGTGCCCGATTTTCAGTCCCATGCTCAACTGCATTTGCCCCTGGGTGCCGACTCCTCCATAAATCACGCGAAGCCTGGCAACACTGGGAGCCGTCCCCTGCCGACTTCTCAAAATCAGGCCGCGCCATCAGCCTCCCTTCTGGGCCCCGCTCCCCGCCCCCTCCCCGCCTCACCCGGGGGTGGGGGCGGCGCGGGCAGCCCGGCCGGCCCCTGCGCCTCGCAGCCCCTTCCTTCCCCTGCGCGGGAGCGCAGTGCATCCCAGTGGACAAACTCGAGAAACGCACGCGGCTCCCTCCGCCCCCCACCTATGTCCTCCCCGCTGTCGCTCTCCCTTCAAGCCCGGGACCTGGACGGTGGCACCGGACCCGCGGAGCCCGCTGCCAAGAGCGCGGCCTCTCGGACAAAGCCTGAGCGGCCAGCGGGACGCTGCGCCCCGGTCGCCCAAAAACACTGTTGAAGAATCCCTGGCGGCCGCTGGCAGGCAAAGTTTTCCTCGAGAAGGGTCTCTGTGGACACCCCTGCCATAGGCTCTGGGCCGCGCGACCCCGTTCCCGCGGGGCCCCAAGTGCGGGGCACAGACGCTCCCGGGCGTGCTCGCGGCTGGGCGCGCCAGTGTATATGGGAGGGTTCCGGACGATGCTCCCCACAGCCCAACTCCCCCGCCCCAGCTGCCAGCCAGCTGTGCGCGTTCCTCCACCCGGAGGTCACCCGAAAACAGCTGGTCGCCGGCTGGAAACCTGGGAGGGGGGCGTTCGACCGCGGCGCCCCGAAGAGGGCTCGGGGTGGGCAGAGCGACCGCTTGGGGCTCGTGTCCTCCAAGTCCGCCTGCAAAGCTCTTTCTGGGAGCCAGGAGTCCTGGCTTTCCCTCGCTCACCACCTCCATCCCGGAGCCCCGCGCCCGCCGCGCCCAACTGCCCGCGCCTCGCCTCGCCCGGGACCAGGGGTGGAGGCGCGCTGGGGCGGCCGGCCAGGACACTGCGCTGCTGGCGCCGGGAGCCGCGGGCGCGCCCGGCCGGCCCCGCTGCCCCGGTTGCTGGGGCGGGCGCCCCTGCCTTAATCTCGGACGCGCGGAGCCCAGGAGAACCCGCCGCTCCCGGCGGGATCGCGGATTCGGGAGCTCCGGGAGGGCCCCGGCCCCGGCGCACCCCGCTGGCGGCTCGCGAGCGCCAGGGAGCACGGGGTCCCTTCATTCGCAACACTGAGGAAATGGTTGCTAGGTCGCTGCCCCGCAGCTACGCACCCGCACGCACCCGGCGCCAGCCTGGTCGCTCACCTGAGTCCTAAAAGCTGTTGAATCCACATGGTCACGTTTCGGGGAGCCGAGCCTCAGACCTTGCTCGCCCCGGCCATCTGCGTGGCGCCCGCTCGCTTCCGTCCCGCGGCGCGGATCTCCGGCTCTCGGTCCGCCGCCGCCCGCCGCCCGCCGGCCGCGGGGCGCACAGCGAGTCAGAGCGCGGCCGCGCGGGGCTCCATGCCGGCCGGCGCGCCGCCGCCGTTGGGGCGCATGGCTCAAGCCGGGCGACCCGCGGGGGCGCACATCCTCCGGCTGGGGCGCGGGGCTGGCGGGCCCCTCCAGCAGCCACACAGCGGAGGCGGCGGCGGCGCGGGGCGCGCTTCGGGGCTGTCGCCGCGCCGCGAGGGTCCGAGGGGCTGCGGCTTCGCCCTCCGGGGCGGCGGGGAGGGAGGCCCGGGGCGCCGCCGCGCACCGGTGCGTGTCTGGCGGCGCGCGGTTCTTGCCTCCAGCCGGAGACCCACGGCGAGGGGGCGATGCCGTCCCGGGCTTTGGGCGGCAGCGACACGAGCGGGCTCGGGTCTCCTCCGCGCGCCGCCGGGTCCCGGAGCTCCACTGGGGACTCCGCTGCCACTCGGCGCCGCTTAACTTGCCCGGGAGCTCCGTCTGAGCGCTCGCTCTGCAGACGGCCGCGGCCAGGAGGCTGGCAGGAGGCTGGCACTGGAGGCGCGCAGGGCGAGGGCGCGGGGAGCGCGGGGCGTGGGGACGCGCGGCGGCGGCGCCGCGCGGAGGAGGCGCGCGGGGATCCCGGGGCTCCGCCGCCCGCGCCCACCGCGCCCTCCGCAGAGCCGCCCGCGCCGCCCGGCCGCCTCCCTCCGCGCGTCTGCCTCTCGCCCGCTCGCCCCCGCCTCCTCGAACGGGTCCCAACTCCGCCCGCCCGGCCCCGGCTCACGTCACCCGCCTTCCCCGCCCCTCGAACCGGAGCCTGAGCCCCCGGCCCCGCTCCCGCTCGCCGCTCCGCCTCGCTGTAGCCCGGCCCGCCGCGTGGGGCTGCGCCCGGCCTGGGCGACGCCTCAGGCGGGGACTCTGTCCGCCCCTACCCCTGGCCCATCCCCATCCTCGTCCCGGTCCCCACCTTGGGAAAGGCTCCGGAGAGGCCGCGGGCTCGGATTGGACCGCCGGGCGCCGCCGGATGGTGTTGCCACGGTAACCGGGTGGCTTGCGAAGCAGTTCGAGGTTCCGTCCTGGTTGCTCGGGTGCGCCGGGCCGGCCCGGAGTCCTGATCCGGGGGAGGAGGCGTTCCCGAGGGAGGGCTCGGGCGGGGGGCGCGCAGCACACCGGCTGCAGCCAAAGTTCGCTGGCGGCAGAGCTCTGCGCGGTAGAGGCTGCGGGAGGCCCGCGCGGGGGTCCTCACCTCACCTGGGAACCCTTCCCTTCACTTCCCTTGCCAGTGCGCGGACCCCTGTCTTGGCGCCGTGGCCACAGAGCCACCTCCCAGTTGCTGGACCCAGGCGGGCGACCTGCGGTGCTTCCCGGCCAGGCCCGGTCCAGAGGCCTCGGTGCTGAATTCCAAGCACCTGAGCCTCATGGGCTTCCCCGCCAGCACCTGCGCACCTGCGCCTTACTAGGCCAAGCACGGGGAGGGCGGGAGCCAGCCCAGCCTGGTGCTGGAGCGGCCAGTCCCCACAGCCCTGGGGAGAGCTGCGCGCAGCCCCTTCCTGCCTGGGCCCCAGGACCAACCCTCTGTTTGCTAGACTCCCAGGAGCGGGCAGAGGACAGGCAGGGCCTGCTGGGCAGGATGTGCCCGCTGGCTCACTTGGGGATCTGGGGCGCGTTCCTGGCCTCCCTGGCCCTCCGTCTGCTTGTGTGTGAAGTGGGTTTCACGGTCCCTGCCTCCCAGGGATGCTGGTGAAGACAGAAGACCTGGGCCTCGCTCGCAGTGGACTCTCAGGACCCAGGCGGGCCCTGGGCGAGCGAGTACGCCGCCTGCTCAGCCCTCGTGGTCCTCTGCTTCCAGGGCCCTGTAGCCCCCGGGGTGTGGGGAGAATGAGGGGCAGATGGACACCCCAGAGGAGCCAGGGCGCGGAAAGTCCTGGGCTGACCGCCTGGCACAGGGGCCGGCCGTCCTGGAGGCCTGCGCGCTGCTACCACCTAGCGGGAAGAGGGGGAGGTGCTGCACCGCCCTGCCCTCCTGAGACGGAGACCCTGCCAGGGGCAGCGGGTGGCACTGCCCACTGGCCACAGGGTGGGGGGCAGACCACTGGGAAACCCGCCGGCCCCTCTGGGGAGGTTTTCAGGCGCGGACAACAACATGAAAGCTGATTCGAAGCCATCCACAGCCCTGGCCGTGTCTATTCACAAATACACCCACGAGGCAGTGGCAGGTGCACAAATGCCACAGCTCTGACACAGAGATGCGCATGGCCCTGGGGACGGCTGTGTGCGCCATGCCTGCCTTGTGGCCATCAGACGCAGGCACCACAGACGCCTGTGTGCTAGAAGGAACCACCCGGCGCTGAGTTTGAAGCCGTTGTAAATCCATCGTCATGCCCGGGGGCTCCTGGTCAGGCTTCAGCCTGGCTCAGCCCCCCCCCCCTCTGGCTCTGCCTTTCAAGTATATAAAAATACATTTAAAGTAAACATTTTAAACATGTGACAAAGTAAACATTTTAAACATGTCCTGACTGCAAAGACATGAAAGACATGAGCAGGCAAGGACAGCCATCACTGGGTTGGACGGAGCCGAGCACCCACAGCCAAGGCCCAAGGAGCAGGGACCCAGCCTGTCCTGGGGAGACGTGCCCCTTGCACAGCCACCCCCGCTGTTCCAGTTTCAAGACCAGAGCATCCACTCAGCTTTGCCCGACATCACTCTTGTCGCTCTCTCTCACACAGGTCCAGCTGGTCCAGCTCTCTCAGGGCACAAGCACAGATGGGTGTATGTCGTGTGAAGCCACGAAGCCATGGCTGCACCTCGCCTTGCACGTGGCTGCTTGCCAGGGCCAGGAGGCATTTGTCTCCCCTGGGGAACTGGGGGGGAGTGTCGGCATCCTCCCGCCCATGCCCCCCACACGGTACACACGTACACACACAGGTGTACCCAGGCTGCAGTGTGTACAGAAGGGACACCCTCAGCGCTGTGCCCTGGGACCTGGCCCAGCTCCCTGGTCTCTCCCGGCCAGGAAGCCGCACCCGGGGCTGGTCCTCCTGCCTCTCTGTGCCATTACCTCCACCAGGCCCTGCGGGAGGCCCTTCTTGAAGTTCTCCAAGCCCATTTACCTAATGGCCTGCCCGGTCCTGCCTATTTTTAAATCCCGTCCACAGCCCAATTGAGCTGCCACTGTTCATTCTTCTCCCAAGGAGGTAAATGTGACTTAAGCATGACACTTGATTAAGTAGCCGAGTTTGTGAGTTTAAACGGAAGGGAAAATGCTCACGTAAATGACTCCTGTGGAGTCTGCACCATCCAGTCCCCTCTGCCTGTCCTGCGGACCCCCGCACCACGGGGGAGCTCAGAACCACTCTTCCTCTCCAGGGAGGAGGTCCCGGTGCCCCGCCACCTGCTGCAGGTGGTTGAGGGCAGGCACAGGCCGGCAGACAGGAGCACAGAGCCACACGTCTGTCCCCAGGTAACCTCAGGGCATTGCTCCCACAGCACAGCGCCATCCAGGTCTCTGCCGTCCCTCCAACTTTGTGCCCCAGAGAGGGCCTGGCCAGGACAGGGGAAACCCGCCTCATGGCACTTCTCGAGGTACCTTGCTGCAGGTTAGCCTCAATTGTTGGCTCTTTGAATTAACGATGGAGCTGGTGCTTCCCCGGTGTCTCTGAGCACAGAGCAAAGGGCAGGGAGTGGTGTGACGCTCCTGGCTCCTCCTGGTTGAAGCAGGGCGTTTTGATGCTTCCATTTCCGTTGGACAGATGCAAGCCATGAGGCCGAGCCGACAGACATGAGCCGCCTGTGTCTATACCGCAGACGAGGAGCAGGGCGCTGGGGGTCCTGCACTCTGTCCCCTGCTGAGGTGACAGCTGTGCAGGTCTACCCTGCAAATGGACATGGCTGCCCTGTGTTCTCCATATGCCTCCTTCCCCCTGGGGACCCTGACACGGGTTCCTGAGTCTCCACGCTGGGAGGGTGCTGGACCGGACGCCATCACCCACACCTGACGGCGTCCACTGGAAACACACAGACCGTGCTGGCCATGACCGCCGGGTGGCCGGGGAGGCTGGCTCTGCTCTGAGCGCTCAGGTGACAGATCTGTGGGGCTGGTTCTGTCCTGAGGGTCGCTGACACCTGTCAGCAAAATCGAACCCATCACCACCTCCCTCTTCCTCCTCACTCCCACCAACCCCCTCATCCTGTGAGCAACACGCTTTCAAGTTTACTGGAGGCCAGATGTGCCGGGAGAAGCACTGTTCCCAGGCTGGCGAGCAGCTGGTCCTCCAGTGGCCTCCCTCAAGGGCAGCAGGGGTCAAGCCGGTCATCCCCAAGCTGGGGTGTCAGAGCTGCCAGTCTAGGAAGTGACTGAGCAGAAAAGCCACTTCCGATGACACCAACATCCAGGCCACCATCCTCGGCTTGGACAGCATGGGAGCCTGCTGTAGAGGGGGAGCCGGGTCCTCGGCCCACCGGAACCTGCCAGTGTCCAGGCCACCATTCTTGGCTTGGACAGGTGTGGGAGCCCACTGCAGAGAGAGGGCTAGGTCCTCGGCCCAGCAGCCAGGCGCGCGGATCCTCGACTCACTGGAACCTACCAGCACACACCAGCCACCAAGGGGTGCGTCAGATGACGGCGGCAGACGCCAAGTGGGGGAGTGAGGACCTCGGCAGGCCTGTGCTCAGTCCACATGTGCTCCGGGGAGCCTTGGCCACGGCCTGCTCAGGAGCTAAGTGGAGACCGCCCGTCCTCAAAGCAGCTGCCTGGAGCCGCACAGACACAGAGGTTCCGGCCGAGCCGAGTG